ATGCTTGCAGCTTCAATAGCTGCATTGGTGGCGGAGTCATCTGCCAAGTTTCCTCTACCAGCCTTTTGCCGGCGAGACAACACTTCGTTCTCCCAATCCAACAGAAATGGGCTCTGAAAAAGGAAAGGAATCAATTACCATAAACCAAGACAACACTTTGTTCGCCCAAACCAACAGAGATGGGCTCTTACAAGGGAAAGGAATCAAGCATCATGTTCTCCCAACGCAACAGAAGTGGGTTCTTAAAAAGGAAAGAAATCGAGTATCATAAACCGTAACAACACTTTGTTCTCCCAATCAAACAGAAAAAAAAGGGCTCTTAAAAAGGAAAGGATATGATCACACAAAGCGTGACAACATTCCGTTCTTCTTATCTAAGGGGTGGGAGCTTTTAAAAAGAAAAGTATCCAGGTCACACAAAGCGTGACAACACATCATTCCTTTTATCGAACGAGAATGGGCTTTTAAACAGAAAAGAATTCAATTCACATAAACTACAAGAACAGTCCATTCTCTTGATCTAAGCATAAGTGGGCCTTAAAACAGTAAATGATTCAAGTCATCAATACCACCACAGTAGATGTTTATTCCAATTCAACGCAAAGAGCTTTTCAAGAGAGAAGTGAGCAGCGATTACTTTTACTAACAGACCTGAAATTTTTCAGATCAATATACTAACCTTTACAATTTTAGTGATCAGAATGTCATAACGTTGATGCTGAATCCGATGTCTCACGATTACCTTCAATTTTTGTGCACAAAGATTACAAGTCAGTGAGGAGCTGAGATACTTGGTCATAGAAAAAGGTCATTTAATTAATTTTGCGATGATATAAGCCGCTAAACAAACCTTATGAACCGTGGGGATGAACGTAGAATATTGCTTTCCTAACTGGAACACCAAAGAACACAGAGTATCCATAGCTGTACCGCGTAGGTCTGGGCATGAGTCTAACGTCCTCATTATTGGATGGATGATTCGTGAGGCAAAGTCAGTGAGATCTAGAGATTCACTGAGACGATCTAGAGTCTCTAAAGCACATCTGTGTAGAGAACACGGCTTGATTGATATTCAGCATTGATAAGTCTAATGTAAATATATCCTGTACCTGAAGAGCTCAATAACCAAGTAACTGCAACCATTCAATTGTATCATTCATTTTGAACGTGAATGTCAATGCTCCCATTTTGGACAAAATTTATCTANTGCGTAGTAAAGCAAAACCAATGCAATCTCGGATCACTTTCGACGCTTAATTGAAAATGGCTCTATTCATTTATTCCAAAAGACTTTAGCCATTCTTTCAGTCATTTGAAAACGTTACCTTGAACTCTCCTCCTAAGGCTGTAACTATCTGTTCCACCAACAATATAATGGTTGTCTGCATTGGACTGTTAAGGATCCAATATTGCTGGAAAATTGAACACCGTTAATAGTTAGCTTCTAAGAAACTGGAGTGTTACGTAGCTTGCAACAACAACTGTTTTTCCATGACTCCTTGATGACGGAAGTCACTAATACATGAGAGAACAAGTCCAAATTTACAGCAAACTTCCACTAATGTACAAACATCGTTTATCGGTCACATCGCCGATAACCAATTCAACGATACCCGTTAGTCAACTCGCCGAAACTAATCTTTGTGACTCGATTTGTTACGCTTAAAGCGCTGTTTACGTCCTCTTGGAAAAAAGTTAAAATCGAGCCTTTCACAACAAAGGCAACAGTTTTGGATGAAAACTCACCGACACGTATTATTATAATACTCAATTTGTTAATTGTTAAATTAACCACACCTTGATCAGACCAAATATTTCATCCAAGTAGTTTCTGATATGTTGCTTGACAATTGAAATCAGCACTCCTAGTTGCTGAAGTACAAACTATGGGGGAAAAAAAAACAACAAATTGTGAATTAAATGATGCTCTTGATATTGATTGACTGCAATTACTCAAAGCAAAGACTTCCAAAATTCACAAACCTCTCGAAATGATGAATCACAAGTTCTAATGACATTCAGAAATGAAGGCATAATCTGAAAATACAAACAAACATAAAGAATACAATAATAACTAATAATTCCAATAACTGATACAAAATCCTCTGTATTTCAATCAATAATCATTTGAAAATATGCAATAAAGATTATTGATTTTACCTGAGAGAGGTAAGTCACACACTTCATTCCAAGACTCTTAAAAATAAATGTCACAGCCTGCAAGGGGAAAATAATAAAAATAATAACATTGAAAATTGACGAACAATAAACATCTACATCAATTACCTGCATACGCAATAATACAACACCCCCTCCACACACACACTTCTCGGGCAACCCAAACACATTTGTTTATTTATTTATTTATCTATTTATTAACTTGGCCGAACAACAACAACCAAAATAATTAAATAAAAAAAGAAAAAAAATGACAATCAATGACAACAAAAAAAAAATGGCAGGGATACTGCAACAGCGTAGCATTTGACCGTAATCCTTGGCGAGGGTGTGACGAATTTGAACCTTGCCTGGCTAAGTTGGGGAATTTGAATTGGGAATGTCAAGTCTTTCAAGAACACAAGTGTCATTTCTTGAAATATGACGTAGGTGCTTTAAGGCAAACACAGGTAGTTCATTTTCACACGCGAAAGTTCAAATGCCCGGGGGATTGCCTAGGAAGGGGATGTGGAAGCTTCGAAATGACCAACGCAGAAGGTGTACTTCACTCAACCCATGAATTCCTGAGAGTGACTGGTGTCTAATTTCTCTTCACAATATCGTCATTGAGGTCACAAGAAGAAAGGAAAAACTCACCAACTTAATAAACTCTCGATTGTTACAAATAAGTCTCCTTGTCAGCATATTGAGAAAATGCCTAAAGAACTCCGCAGTGAATATGCATACTGACGTTAGGGTGTAAAGGACAAAGACTCTAGTAAATGGAAATGAAACTGATTGGCGCAAGTAAACTTGTTTCATAACTTGTTCATGCAGGAAGACATTGTTGTAAAATTTGATGTCAAATGTCGTGTTTTCATCCAGTACAGTGTATATGCCATGCTAACAATAATATGAAAATCATATACTTGAACTGCGGTTAAGGAAACGCATATGAGAACGATCTTCGCAGTAAGGAGCCATACTTTTGCAGTAGTGAAAATGAGACCTGAAAATAATTCAGGCCTGTACGGGATTCGAACCCATGACCTCTGCGAAACCGGTGCAGTGCGGTGCACCGGTGTGAGTGTATTACATGTACGTGTACATGTAACTACCAGGTTAGAGGATGCTTTGAAACTATTGAAATAAAGTTTCCGTAGAATGGAAAGTGTTATGATCTTGGTTTAGTCTAGTAAAGTACCTGAATCACCATAGTATGGTGACTAGAAAGTGATGAGTCCCTGACAATCCTCATAAGAGCAGACACTGCCACTGCAGGGTAGAACTCCTCCAACTGAACGCTACCCATGGTAACTAACATTTCACTTGTGCTGGTATCAGCTGCAAATGTATAAAACACAAATTAATGAGACGGTAATGAATTTGAAAAAAAGGCAGGCAAAGTAATTATGTCATAAAGCTACCTGTACATATCAAACATGTTTTTATTATGTTTTCAAATCTGACCTGCTTCGTTATCTGTCGAGTCTTTGGCAGAGTTCCCACCTACGAGCAGCCCTCCAGTCTGATTCAGTTTATGTTTATAAGGATCAAGCGCTCCCAAAAGTCCAAGCACTCTGATGGCCTATACAGAAACAACAAACGGGTGGGTTCAAAAAACTAAACCATTGGACACTAGTAGGGATGAAGTCAGCTAATATAAGTGTTGCAGAACTACATACACACCTCTCGCCTTACTCCAGGGGCCTGTTCTGTTTTGAGGAAGTTCAATAAGACTTCTAAAAGGTTAGGGTACTTCCTGTATGGTTCTACAACATATCTAAGAAATTCAAAGGATAGAATTTCAATATTGCTTTCAAATTGATGTCCATGTTCACTTCAAGTGATGAGATTAAATAGAGAATACACATGGGCTTGATATGATATTATAATTATGAATTTGGATATGATATTTCTCTTTGAGTTGAAAACAAGACAAGAAATTCCATTTCTATGCACATCCATGTATAATTCTGTTAAATATATATACACTACAGGTCTTTACTGGCAAGAAAATTCAACAAATGGAAAGGCAAGTGACATATCAGCAGCTGATAGTCAAAAAAAGAAACACACAAAGTTATTGTAATATGTTACATGTGTTTAGTAAAGGCCTTTCTCAGGGCTGGAAATAATTGTTACGAATCTCTGTCGTCTAAATCAATAATAAAAGGCAGTTATCAGAGGAACAAGTTTAAGTACAAAGCTTACCCAGTACTCTCCACAAGCTGACCAAGAGTCCACAGAGCAATCTGTTGGTCAAACACATTCATACTGATAAGAAAAAAATTAAAATGTAGCTATAAATGTACTTACATTTATTTAGTAGAGCTGTTGCTAATTTTTGTAGATAAAACTGTTTGGAGACTACAGCACAATCATACTATTTCACAGGGTTATAGGCTGATCACTTTGAAGCTTCAATATCCCCCCCCTCCCCGACAACCCATGGGATCTTTAGCATTATCTGTGCACAGGCAGTGGGAAATTGGAACCTTGCCTGGCTGGCTGTCTGGGGTGGGTTATTTGAACCAGAAGTGTCCAGTCTTTTCAGCCAAATTCAAGTGTTTAGTCTTCAAATATGGAGGTGTTTGTGGTAAACAGTTCACTTTTGTTAGCAAGTGACTCAGAAAAAAAGGTCTACAATGACTAAGTTTTAAAGCTTGGTCAATGTGTTGAAAGTCATGGTTGCTGAATTGCCTCTTACCCCCCCCCCCCCC